GGGGGGGGGGGGGGGGGGGGGGGGGGGGGGGGGGGGGGGGGGGGGGGGGGGGTAGCGCTCAGGTGCCTACCAACGTCTCGGGGTTCTCACGTCACCTGCCCCAAACACCCGAGCGGATAACATTCCTCATCCTCTGCTGCTTAACCCATCTGCCTCGATGTTTTAGCTCCCCGTTCTCCTTCCTACCCCCGTCCCACGCTGCCTTGTTGTCTCGCCTCTACGCACCTCCTATCCCCGAGCCTCGGCTACCTCTGTCCTTACTCGTTTCTTTCTCTGCGTACCCGATCCAGCCAGGAGCCAGCACCGAGCCCGTCGAACCAGCCGCAGTGGCCCCCGTGCTCCGTGATGGCGACCACAATGCCGTCGCTCTTCGCGGCCGCTTCGAGAGCACCCACCCAGGCGTGCGGGGGGCAGAGCGGGTCGTCTTTGGCGAGGAGGCACAGCGTCGGCACGGTTACCTTTATGAAACAATGTTGAAACGGTGATGGGCGGGGACGGCGCGGGGCACAAAACAACCGTCACAACGCACACCGAGTAAACATCTGTTTGTGAGTCTGATTCTGTCGAAGTCTCTCTCGTGTCAGACTTCATCATCGCATACCTGTTGCGTGATACGGCGTTCAATTTTATTGAAGCAGCATGCACTCATCGACACTCGTGTTGCAACTTCGCCATATCGGGGGGTTGTTCGGCACTTCGTTTCCGACGACATCCAGCACATTCGATGGTTGCGGATGGCTGTTGGTTGTTCCATTCCGAGGTGCTGATTCAAACGTCGGCCACAGGCCTAAAGGTGATTCACCAACGTGCCGACAATTTCCTTCGCGGTGGGCGCCTCCACGCCTCCCGTTAGCCAATCCCGCTGGAACCATCGGCGTGTTTGCCAGCTCATAACATCTACCTGCTTATTCTCTGCAAGCTGCGTGCTTCGTTGCGAGGGCGACGTTTCAACTCTCTCCCCCCCCCCCCCCCCCCCCCCCCCCCCCCCCCCCCCCCCCCCCCC